CCTTCTTTCTCAGATTAAATTGATTTTAAATATTAATAATAAAAAAACAAAGAAGGTATGATTTATATATGACGTTAATGCTCTTTATTATAAAATTCTATTATCTTACGTTTTATATATGAATTACAAAAAAAAAAACAAAAAAAAGAAGCTTCTATTCGAGTTCGTGGCCTAAGTCTTTTGTTACGTGCGTGAGAGGATGACAGTTTAAGAGTTTATGTGCGACAGCAAACAGGTGCGCTTAATATTATATTTAGTTATAAACTTGTATTTAGCAACTTGTTTGACAGCCAGTGAAATACTAGAGTTCTATAACTGTATAAAAGCGAAAACTTTCATATATTAAAGGGCATAGATACATTACATGCCCACTATAAAAGTCTGAAAGGTTTTAAAGCTGATAAAGTTCCAACTTTCTTTTATTCTGTTCACCCAACGAGGGATAATCTCTTAAAACGAGAAAAAGGACATAAAACGCAGAAAAATATGACCGTTGGTAGATAAAATCAATTTACATGCATTCAATAACAAATTGTGAACCATCAGAGGCAAGACAAGCCTTCTAGCCTCATCAGTTCCTCGAGTTTATGGGGGGATTTGAGCAGCTCTGAATGGCCAACTGCCTTGTAACTGCCTCGTTTTAACGATTCTGCTGCGTCGTGGGTTTGTTGCGACAACTTTTGTGGCGCTGTTAATCGTTAAACGCCGAGATACCAAAAATACTTCAAGTTCCAGAGATCTCAGAAGGGGGACAATCTAATTAGCGATTGGCTGCAATGGCAATCAAAATAAACTCTCGAGTATTATGACTATACTGGAATTGTGACTTATTGGCGTTTTAAATTAGTAAACTTTACAATGGGAAATACAAACAGGAGGTGTGGGTAAGAAGGGACATCTGCGAAAGGGGAGGTGATTGATAGTTTGTAAAGAACGTATGAGTATGCCTTCCCATCCTTAGGATCCAGTTTCGTTCCCGATAATACAAAGTGGCTCTTGGTAGCCTATTTCTGGGCCATAATTGCAATTTCATGTTAATGGGCGCCAACTTCAGGTCTCTTATCTCTTAATGTCTTGCTGTCTTCGGTTTTGCAGATTCTTTGGGATTCTTGATGGTGGCTCGTTAAGAGGCGACTAATGGCCTAATGGCTCATGAGGCAAGCTGCGCGCTCTGCAAGAGTTGTATAAAAGTTGTATAAAAAAAAAAACAAGGAGAAATAGTTCGGTGCCATATTTTAAGTGATAAGAGAGCTTGCATTTTGAGTTCCCTTCCATATAAGTATGTAGTGAAGTCCCACCAGTCGAATCCACTTTTGGGACTTTAGAGTTTTGGTTCACGAATGAATCAAAATTGTAAAAACGAATTCTGTGAAGGATCTTTTTCTTGATCCTATGTACCAATCTGTGCGCGTCGGCCGGACAACTTACTCCAGAAACAATAGTTCTATCCATTAAATGGCAAGTTTCTTTAAGTTTGTTAAGTTACAATATTTTAACTATAAGAATTCTCTTTTCTCATTTACGGATTCTCATTTACGGATATATATATATGAATATATATATATATATATATATATATATATTTCAATTGTCCTATTTGATTTTAACTCTCTGTGATACTAGAGGCAAATATGCTAATCCAAGCATACAAACTCCATAATAAGTTTTGTGTATAAGTTGTCTCAAGGTTGGGATTAATCAATTATTGTCCAATTATCGAGGGTCTGGAACTTCGAAAGAGGGAAGGATGAACAATCTGACCATACAAAGCCTAATGAGCATAATGAATGGATTAAGCCAGCATTTACGCAAACGCGTTGATATTTCCTCTGACCACAGAATATAAATCGAGCATACTTCATGGAACCTGTCCTAAAGGTTGGACCTTCATCGGGGAATAATGGAAAGAGGGACTAACGATTTGCATGGTCTTGCCTCTTTCCCTTAACTTGCAACTTGGCATCTACTTAATTTCAGGTTGTCCGCGGAAAAACTTAAGCATATTTAATCGCATGTCGCTGACTTAACTGGTGGTTGAGAGGAGGGAGGGGTTCATATAGACGGATAAGATTTGAAGGTATGGGGTTTTGAGCTTGTTTTCCAGTCTTATTTCGTGGCGACGCTCACGCATATTCCGCATATGCAGACGACGCACGACGGGACGCAGGCGCCACTTGGACAACATACAGAGAGTCTGTTGGAAAGATCAGGGAGTAAGGTCGGGGTCTCACTGGGTCTCAAAGTTTGGTCTGGAAAAGGGCTTCAGAGAGGTAAATTTAAAATGCGGCATCTTATTCTCGTGTTTCCAGTGCGAACTGACCTTTGCACCTGCCACTAATTTTAAATTAAGGGCTTACACGAGATAACAATCAAGATACATTTATGGAATCGGAACAATATGGTGTGTAAACCCATTCTGACAATTGCCGAAAATTGTCTTTACCAAAAACCGCCGTCAGCCGGTCTGAAGACAAATTGAGGACCAACAAAAAGAACGCATAATTTAAATAATAAGGACACCTTATAGTCAAGCGAGTAACTTCTAGTTATCCTGTTCTGGTTGGAGATTTTATAAAAACCTAAGAGTATGAAATATTACCTTTTTGAAAGTTAGCTATAATGCATTTTTGAAAACCCTGGACCTCATAAAATTTGCTTTATAAAATGAATATTTTTTTGATGGTACACAGTGTTGTAAAGCAGTGAGAAGAATTTTTTAAGGCTTCATTTAATTTTATGGGCTTTACCAAAAAAATGTGTCTTTGCTCTCCGAAACCAACCAGTAATGAAATATCGACAGGACTCTATCTTTGCCTTGTATTTTCTGTTCCCTACACTGGACCTTCGGGGAGCACAAGTTCCCGCCTATGCTAAAACGTCAAATAAGAGATTAGCGGCAGGGGTAAGGCTTTAAGGTTGCTTAAAAGCGTGCTTTCTATTCGACTTCAGAGTGTCGTGTAGGAACAGCAGCTGCTGGACATCGTTTCCCAGCAAGCAAATGCCGTGAAAAAAGGCAGGGGAAGATCCCGAGGGAAGGGATGTTGCTGCCAGCGATTGCAATCTTTGTACTTCAGTTGTTGCTTCTGTTTTTCTGTTTCGGGTTCTGTTGCTTTTTATGTTCCTCCCGAGTCTTCTTCCCCTCCTGTACCCATTTAAATTTCCGCCATTTGTTTATTTGGTGTAGGACTAAAATAACCCAGAACGTAGATAACCCACAGAAGAAAACAAATAAAAGTCCAAAATATGTATTACATCAAAAAATTATTTATTGTAAAACATGAGAAAAATAACAAAAATTAACTTAGTACATATATATTTTATTTTTTAATATTTCTTGGTCATTCATATTACATATTTTTGAATGTCACACGCCTTGTAATTTCGGTCGAAATAGTAAAATTTTCTGAAAATCAAAAAAAAAAAAGGTCCCTAGAAATTTTCAGAAGTTTAACTGCAATTTTTTTCGTGCAGATGACGGCAGCGATTGAAGGGTGAGATCTCGTATACCAGATTAACAAAGCCTCCCAATAAAGTCGTTTTTTGGAGTCCCAAGATTCGACGACACACTAGCAACATATACAATTTAATTAAAGACACGACTACCGGATTGGATGGGTTGAGTCCTATCGAATCCCCAAATCTTGCACATCGACGCTTACCGATAGCCCTGATTTTACCGTTATTGGGGGCTATTTACAGACCGCGCAGTCTGACCTTGGCCTTAATGAAGATCTTTTTCAACGTCCCTGCCGCTGTTGCATAATTTACTCCAATTTATATGCCATAAAAGCGATAAAGGCCGCAATTAAGTTCTTGTTTCTTTGATAATTTTCCACATTTACGCAGCCATTAAAATGATTCCCAACGCATTTTTCAGGCCCTACTATCATTTAGCCTCTTATCCAATTCCATTCTACGTGCCTATTTCCCCCGGCAGGATCCATTCTCCATCCACTTATCGTATGGCGAAGAATAAAAGCTGAAAGCATCAAGAGGAATTGAAACATAGTATGGTCCAACCCCAAGGTGTTAATTAGCATTATCTTAATGCACGTTCCGGCACACAGTTCAAATTGAATTATACATAATAATTTGTCCGCCGCTGTTTAAAGTGCAACTTAATGTTTGAGTGGACAGGCCATCTCTGTATCAGAAGCGTTCTTTGCCCTTTGGAGGGGTAAGTTGTGACCCCACCTTTAGCCACAAGTACTGTGGAGAGGCCTGGGCTGAATGTAGTCTACCAAGCTCGTGCTAAGCGCTCATTAATCACATTAGATATGCATTAATGCGGGAAGGAATTCAACGGCGTGCAAACAAAAACTAGATAAAGACAAAAAAGAGGGGAGGATAAATATATAATGCCTTGGCGCAAGATGTGCACCATTTTTTAAGTACCATTAATTAATTAATATTACCGAAAAATGAATTAAACTTTTAAAGAGTAATCGTTTTGTTAGAAACAACGATAATAAAATTAATACAAATTCATTTTTATAGTTTAACTTTTTTTATAGACATTATTTACTAAAAAAATCAATATTTAAAAGCTAATTTTCTTGGACCAACCACCTCATTCCCTGTTCAAACCCCAACAACAATAACAACTCATTCAACCACCACAACAGCACGCAGCTACAACAACCCCGAAAGCCAAAAGCAAATAAACGAACGAAATATCTAGACAGTATAAGTGAGTATCTGTGTGAGAGGTTATGCCTGAATGCGAATGTGTGAGTGAGAGCATTGAACGGGGCGGAGCTAAACAAAGGGTGGCTTAAAAGCCCGGTTTATCTTCTGGGGAAATATTAACGATAACCACAGATTTGCAGTGTTTCTTTGTAACTATATGTTAAAGTTTGTTTTTGTAGCTATAGTTATAAAGAGAGAGAGGCACAGCCATGTGGGGCGGAGAGAAAGCGAGTGTCTAGGGGTGTCTCGCTTGCACTTGAAGAGTGGAGCCCATCAGGGCAGCGCCGCCAGTCGCGCCAACGACGCCGGCAGAGACAGAGGCAGCGGGACCTTTCTTGCGATGTGCCCGCCATTCGAAATCAGTCAATGTTGAGGCGCGAGAAGACGCGGCTAAAGAGCGGAGAATCAGAATAAGAATCGAATTTTGAGAACTTAAGTCCCGGTGCTATGCAGTACTGCAGAATAAGAAAATCAAAAATATTATAATCTGAAAGACAAAAGCCGTCGCTGTGCTCCTAATTATTTATTATTTTTTGTGTGCGTCTGACTACATGTGTGCATTCTAGGTAATGAGTGAAGTTAGAGGTTTGTCAAACCGCAGAGACTAAAGACTTTGGGCGATAGAAAAAAGCCTTTTCACATAGAGAATGCTTGTGCCGTCGGACATGATTGCGGCGCAGTCCAAGATGGTTTACCAGATGAACAAGTATTGTGCGGATCGCGTTCAAGTGCGCAAAGCCCAGATCCATAAGCAAATTCAGGAGGTGTGTCGAATTGTGCAGGATGTCCTTAAGGAAGTGGAGGTCCAGGAACCCCGTTTTATCTCCTCGCTGAACGACTATAACGGACGGTTCGAGGGTCTAGAAGTTATATCGCCCACGGAATTCGAAATCATCATCTATCTGAATCAAATGGGTGTGCTTAATTTTGTGGATGATGGCACCCTGCCAGGATGTGCGGTCTTGAAGTTGAGCGACGGACGGAAAAGGTCTATGTCCCTGTGGGTGGAGTTTATCACGGCCAGTGGATATCTCTCTGCCCGGAAGATAAGGTCCCGATTTCAAACCCTGGTTGCTCAAGCGTGTGACAAGTGCGCCTACCGCGATATAGTTAAGATGATCGCCGACACCACCGAGGTTAAGCTTCGGATCCGGGAGCGTATCATCGTCCAGATTACACCCGCTTTCAAGTGCGCTGGCCTATGGCCAAGATCTGCATCTCACTGGCCGCTGCCTGGAATTCCGTGGCCCCACCCCAATATCGTCGCCGAGGTCAAAACGGAGGGGTTCGATATGCTTTCCAAGGAGTGCATTGCGCTGCAAGGCAAGAACTCAGCCATGGAAGGCGATGCGTGGGTTCTCAGCTTTACCGACGCCGAAAACCGGCTGCTGCAAGGTTAGTTACCGTCGGGCATCGAAAAAGAGAAGTACTACAGTGCGTATGGGAGTGTATTAACGTGAAATTCTCGTCAAATTCTTGTCTATTTAAACTGGGCAGGTCGAATCTTACATACCGGTGCATTTGATATAAAATTCCATAAATAAAAACAAAGTTTACACAATTTTTGTAACAAGTTTTATTTGCAGTTGCATGTCCAACTCCATTACATACCTGCAATAGTTCCGATAATATTGTTGTGTATTTTTATACCCTTACAGAGGGTATTATAATTTTTGTCAGAAGTTTGCGACGCAGTGAAGGAGACATCTCAGACCCCATAAAGTATATACATTCTTTATCAGCATCACCTTCGGAACCGATCTAGACACGTACGTCGGTCTGTCTGTCTGTTTCTATGTATACTAGTCTTTCCGTTTTAGAGATATAGTGAAACAAATATTATATCGTCGTTGTTTTTTTATAAAACAAGCAAGATTTTGGGAATTTGGAATTTTTAACTACGATTAAGTCATATAAAAATGTCATAAAAATCTGACGATTATACATAGCTGCCATAGAAAAATCGGAAAATATGTAAAATAAATGGAAACAAATTAAAATATCCTTGTTTTTTTTTATCATACAAGAACGATATTTTAGATATAACGTTTTCCAAAGATTTTTTATGAAAATCGGATAACTACATACATATATCATGTTGCTGATCAAAGAAGTGTCCACTTGCAGTTAGCAACGGTGTCAGACAAATTTTTGTTTTCTTGAGTGCGGAGCATTTTGATTTCGGCATTTTTTATAGTCCCTGAACACTTCCAACCTTTTATCAGTGACAAACTAAATTGTTTTATTCCATCAAATCAGCGACTTTGTTTTGATACGTCCATATTTGGTTGTAAATTAATGGTAGGTCTGTAGACCGGAGCAATGAAATGAAGGAACTATCCTTTGGCGTATTGCTTTAAATTAACTTATAACTAATATATGTTAAGTTCACTTTTTAAAGGCTCCTCGAAATTTGGGGCGAAGCGTATTAAATGGATATGTAAATATCTGCATTTCCCAATAAATCTAAATATATAAACTTAAAAAAAAATAATGAATAGAATTTAAGGTGGGGAATGTCGGAAAGTTCTATAAATGGGAAAATTTTGGTTCGAATAGAAAACATTTTCTACGCCTTAACTTATTTGGGAAATGGAAAATTTTGATATTGTCTTTAAATAAAGTGTATTACAATTATTAAAAAAAAAATGGATTTTATGAGAAATAATTAATTTATCTGTTCAAATACAACTTATTCAAGATTGTAGATGCGGTTGCTAATGTTCTTATTTGAAATACAATTACACGGCAGCTTCAATTAGGGAACTACGTCTGCATAACGAGGCATCCGTTTATCGATCCCAAACAGATATAAGATACGTGCGATCATAAATCTGATGTTCGATCGAAGGGGGGAAAACGAAATCGAGCCCAGTTTCTCAGTTTCTTGGTTTTTGTTAGTCGCAGCGCGGCAACGCACACTGCTGATCTCCAGAAGATAAGCGAAGTCTCGGTAGTCTGAGTCCCAAGGCAGTTGGGCGGTTAGTTGAACGGACCACAGACTACGGACTACAAAACTACGGGAAACGGGTTCCATATAAACAATGCCAATGGTTGGGCCATAAATAAATTTCTTAACGATTTTATAAATATTTTAAATCTCGGCGATTAGATAAAGTCAACAAATAAATAAAACTACAGCGGGCCAAGAATGAGATGACACACGAAAAAAGAAAGAAAGAGGTTAAAAGATTGGGTTTGGGCGACCATAATGCTGAGAGCCGAAGCAAAACAAAAACGAAATTCTAGCTGAAACAAAACTACGATAAAATTAAAAAAGAAACCAAAACCCAATCCGAAATTAATTCTACGGCCCCTGACAACGATCTCTGATCGATATTGATCCGGCTGGTTCCCCAGCGTGTTTGTCATTTAATTTAATGCCTAGAACTGACACCAAGACTCCGACATATTTTGTTTGCCTTAATTTTTTTTGGATAAGGTGTATCGATATTGCATATACGAACGGCGACTATTGTTAGCACTATCACTTTTAGCCCCAAATAATCGTTTTCATCATATGGACTTAAAATACTCAATCCGCACTCGTTTTGCGCGGTTTAGCCCGCGAGTTAGCTTTATAAGTCGAGTGCCAATATTGTGGCAATATCGTTCAATATTTATTAATCAAAACATGAAACAAAAACCGGAGCAAGAAGTTTTAAAACGGAAAACAGTCGTAGACGTGATTATCGGGCCGCAGTAGAGATTAGCCCGTCTAACATATTGCTAACATTGCTATGATTTATGTGCGTCGACGCAATCGGGCTACAATAAATTAAAAATCGGTACGACTATCAACCTGTATGTCCGTCTCTTCAAAGAGAAAAGTAAACCAAACTAAGAAATACGGTTGATCAATCAAAGCCGAGGGCATGAAGCAGGAACAGGGCTGTAGGTAATTTGGTGTTTAACACACTATCTTTAACCACTATCGATTGTATTGAACACTTTCATATTTGAAAGCTTTATTTTAATTTTTTAACGTTTACCAAGCATGAGACATTTTAAATAACTAAAATCTTTCTCAAGTAGGCAAAACACTTAACGAAATCGGAAGTCTAGTGCATGTGCTCGAGATAGAAAGGTTTTAATGACCAAACCCATCGATCAGTTAGTCCTTATCTAAAAAAAACAAACTAGCTATAGCCCTGTCAAAACAATTTTGGTTCAATAGTACGATAGCATTGAATGGACATAGTGATTCATTGTGATACAGACGATCTGTGTAGAGATCGTAAGGAATATTTAACATTATATAAAATACTATAATAAAAAATAAAGAAAATTAATCAATTTTGTATCTTTATTCCAGGAGCTAGTCGACGCCGCTGCTTAAGCATTTTAAAGACCCTGCGAGATCGGCATTTAGACCTGCCCGGAAACCCGGTGACGTCCTACCACCTTAAAACGCTTCTGCTCTACGAGTGCGAGAAGCACCCGCGAGAGATGGAGTGGGAGGAGAACTGCATCGCGGATCGAATCAATGGAATCTTCCTACAACTGATCTCTTGCCTGCAGTGCCGCCGCTGTCCACACTATTTCCTGCCTAATATGGATCTGTTTAAGGGAAAATCGCCAGGAGCCCTGGAAAACGCAGCAAAACAAGTTTGGCGACTAACCCGAATAATGCTCACCAATGTACGTTGCCTGGAGGAATTGTAGACACTATTATACTAAATCGGCCTTCTGATATTTTGGAGCTTCAACGGGAGTGCACGCAGCCAAAAGTTCCTTGGCATTTTTTAATTTAACACAAAGCACCGAAAACATCAAAGACGTGATGGGAGACATCAAAGAAGAAAGAGCATTGAAATTGTAACCCAAATACTATTTGATATTTCGCTAGATCGTAACTTAGCTTAGGTGCTTTCGAAAAGTATACGCCGCTTACATAGTTTCTTATAATTAGAGCATACTTAGGACCATTTAAATCGTCATCATCAAATAATGCACAAAGGTTACTATTTAGACTATAGACTTTTTTTTTTTTTTTAGTCGATTGCTTGTTGCAAAACACAAAGCAAAATTAGATATATTAGCCTTAGCCCTATAAAACTGAGACAGCCAATGCGAGAATACTTTCCTCGTTGGTCCTAAGTTATTTATTTTATGTTATTGGCTTCCTCTTCATAGTATGTCAATAAACCGTATGTTTTTTTAATGAAAATAAAAAATGTTGTTAATAAATTGGGATGCTGTTTAGGTGAGTTTATAAGCACTGTGAATTTAAATCTAAAAACTTTTTACAAACATATCACAAGAGTAAAATGATTACTTTTACAACTTTTTTATTATTATTAGTCTGTCTGTTTTCTTCTGTGTAAACTAGTCATTCACCTTAAAGCTATTCCGCTAAAACTCTACCAAAAGTTGCGTATTTACTGAATGAGTATATAAGTCGGAATGGAATCGGACAACTTTATGACAATTCTATAAGAACATCCACGAGGATGATTTTTAAAAAAAATTGAGTTTTTTAATAACCCTTGAATCGAGAAAAAAATTTCATCAAAATCTGACAACGTTAACATATGGCTACCATAGGAAAGATCGAAAAATCTATATATAAATAATGGAAAAAAATTATAACGTCGTTGTTTTTAATCCCACGAGCATGATTTTTAAAATATGGAGTTTTTAATAACCCTTGAATCGAGAACAAAAAATGTCATCAAAACTTGACAACGTTATATAACTGCCATACGAAAGATCGAAAAATCGATATAGAAATAACGGAAATAAAATGATAAAATTGTTGTTTTTAATCAGACAAGTATGATTTTTGGAATATAGAGTTTTCTAACGACTCTTGAATTACGAATTAAATTTAAGTAAAATCGGACGACTATATCATATAGCTGCCATATGACCAATAGTCGAAAACATGGGAAATTAATAGAAAAATCGTCACAGCTTTGAAGTTGTTTAGCCTTTATGTATTTTGTTGGTCATATTTGATGACTGCAAGGGTATATAAGCTTCGGCTTGCCGAAGCTAGCCTAATTTGTTGTTTTTGAAATAATATAAATTATATTCAATTATAAATATTTATTATATATATAAATGTTTATTATATATGTATATATATATTAATAATTATATGAATGCAAGTAGCTCAAGCTTTGTGCTTGTGTTCAGGGTAATCTAATAAGCTCATATGCAAATTTACGTCTATCCACATACCGTAAGATCTGCCAGATCTTAAGGACTTCGTCTGTCAATCTTCGGTTCGTCATTTAATATCTAGCCGGTTGTATAAATACGCCACGAATTTAACAACGGAGTGGGGAAAACTTCAAAGACTAATATTTGGTCCGCTGCTGACAGGTTGCGAATTTAAATTGCGAATTAACAAAAATTCGCGGACAGCTAACAATTCCAATAAACTAAACACACGCCCACTGTCTTTGTACAATACAACCATCTATTGATCCAACATTTTGGTCACGTGTCTCTGCGGATTCGAGGAACAGACATAACATGCAAATTAAAGTTTATTTCATTCATAAATTAAATAATTAAATTATCCCCTCCAGTGTTTTGATGTTGTCATGTGTTTTTGCTCTTACCAGTCGCCTGTCCGCCTTTGCGGCTTTTTACTATTTATATCCTACATTTATGCTTTATTGCGGTACCGTTGATTTAATAGGCTTTTGTATGCCATATAGACCTCAGATTATTTTATCTTAAAACAAGAAAGGAAGCTAGCTTCGGCAAGCCGAAGCTTATATACCCTTGCAGTCATCAAATATTTCGAACAGAATACACAAAGCCTAAACAACATCGAAGCAACGACGACTTTTCTATTAATTTTTCATATTTTTGACTATTGTTCATATGACAGCTATATGATATAGTCGTCCGATTTTGATGAAATTTTATTTGTTATTCAAAAGTCGTTAGAAAACTCTATATTCCAAAAATCATGATTTTCTGATGAGAAATAACGATGTTATCATTTTATTTCCGTTAATTCTATATAGATTTTTTTGATCTTTCCTATGGCAGCTATATGATATAGTTGTCCGATTTTTATGAAAATTTTTTTATGAACCAAGGCTAGTTAAAAAACTTGATACTCAAAAAATCATTGTCGTGTGATGAAAAACAATCACCTTATCAATTAATTTCCATTAATTCTATATATATTTTTTGATCTCTCCTATGGCAGCTATATGATAGAGTTATCCGATTTCGATAAAATTTAACCCGAAATTCAATAGTAACTAGAAAACGCCATGTGGAAGAAATCAAGTCGATCTGATCAAAAACAACGGCGTTAGAATTTTGTATTTCAATCTCTTGTATTGGAGCTATCCTATATAGTCGCCCGATCCGGCCCGTTCCGACTTATATACTGCGTGCAATAGCTACACACCTTTTGGGAAAGTTTCAGCAAGATAGCTTTAAAAATGAGAGACTAGTTTGGGCAGAAACGGACAGGAGGACAGACGGACAGACGGACAGACAGACAGACGGACAGACGGACAGACGGACAGACGGACAGACGTACAGACGTATTTCGATTCAGATGGTGATGCTGATCAAGAATATATATACTTTATGGGGTCTAAGGTGTCTCCTTCACTGCGTTGCAAACTTCTGGCCAAAATTATAATACCCTTTGCTCTGCAAGGGTATAAAAAGAGAGGGAAGCTAGCTTCGGCAAGCCGAAGCTTATATACCCTTGCAGTCATCAAATATATCGATCAAAATGCATAAGGGTTTTATACCCTTGCAGAGCAAAAGGGTATTATAATTTCAGTCAGAAGTTTGCAACGCAGTGAAGGAGACACCTCAGACCCCATAAAGTATATATATTCTTGATCAGCATCACGAGCAGAATCGGAAAACGTCTGTACGTCTGTCCGTCTGTCCATCTGTCCGTCTGTCCGTTTCCGCGCAAACTAGTCTCTCAGTTTTAAAGCTATCTTGCTGAAACTTTCCCAAAAGGTGTGTAGTTATTGCACGCAGTATATAAGTCGGAACGGGCCGGATCGGCCGACTATATCGGATAGCTCCCATACGAGGGAATGAAATGAAAAATTCTCACGCCGTTGGTTTTCATCAGATCAACTTGAATTCTTCAAGATGGCGTTTTCTAACTGTTATTGAATTTCGGATTAAATTTGATCAAAATCGGATTACTCTATCATATAGCTGCCATAGGAGAGATCGAAAAATGTATATAGAAATACGGGAAATAAAATTATAACATCATTCTTTTTCTTCAGACAAGCATAATTTTTAGAATATAGATATTTTCTAACTACTCTTGATCAGCTATTCGATTTTCAAACAAAGGCAAACTTCAGACTGAAATTATAATACCCTCTGCAAGGGTATAAAAAGTGAGTCTCGATGGTAGATTCAAGCATTGAGCATCAATCAAAATGCAAAAAGGCAAAAAAAAGTATTTTAAATGTGAAATGTTAATTCAAATCCTTATAATGTTAATATAATGTTAATTTAGTATAATGTAAATGTAATGTTAACTAAATGTTAATTAAATTAATATGGCCACGTCAGCGACAATAATAATTAAACATTTTTTACGTTTTCTTGCACCTATAATTCCCAACTCGTTCTGACTGATTCTTAGTGGGATACCCCTTGATTTTGGTCAATTTCTCAAGTTCACCGGGATGACCGGCAGTTTCTCTGAGAAACTCACTCCGGTCTGTGGAAGTGTGTGTGAGTGCGTGTGTGCTGGTAAAGTGGTTCCAGAGTATCCGGGCGGCTCCTCCTACTGGAGTCCATTCACGGATGCAGTGCATCATGGGTCGACTCCTCCTACTGGAGTCCACTCCCGGATGCAGTGCATCATGGGTCGACTCCTCCTACTGGAGTCCACTCCCGGATGCAGTGCATCATGGGTCGACTCCTCCTACTGGAGTCCACTCCCGGATGCAGTGCATCATGGCCTGACTTGGCATGGGCTTTTGGATGCCAGATGTCTTCCTGCTTGGTGTGGATCAGGATGCAGTGCATCATCATCCTCCTGCTCGGAGTAGAGGATGCACTGCATCATGGCTTGACTAGGCATGAACTTAAAGGTGCCCGATACCTTCCTGCATGGAGTGGACTCCAGGATACAGTGCATCAAAACCTAAAGCGGTGAGTACCATTTATTTTTAAATTAAGTGATGACGTGGTTTTTGTAAATGTAGTGCAATAATTTAATAAATTATTTATTTTATATTTATTTCAGGTTAATGAATGTTTAATAATAAGAGTTAATGACACCATCATACTTCTAACTTGGAGCTGGCACCAGGATTTTTTCGCAGTGAGTACATCAATTAGAGAGTTGATAATTAAGTTATTAATTTTAACATCAAAAATACGACTTAAGGTAGGTGAGCTTTTTAAACAAAGAAATCAAAAGCAAAAGATAAAGATCTGAAAATATTTATGAACAAAAAGAAAGAAATTGAAAGGTGAATTTTATCAGATAATGAACTTGAGGTACAAGAAAATCAAACAACGAATGACTTTAAACTAGTAGGGACATATTACATTAATATATTAGTTAGAATAGTTGTAAGAATAATCATGGGTATATCGATCTTTCCTATAGCAGAAACAGTATTTGGTTCCACTGTAAGTCACTAATTGGCTTTATTACAACCAAAAAACCCACTCAAAATATAGTGTTTTCTACCGGAATTGTCAACTGATCTTTCCCAAATCAGTTTTTATGAACTTACTAAAGGATCAGTAAAATAACAATTAATTTTGCATTCGGTGGCATGAATTGCTGGGCTTTTATAGTTTCCAAAACTATACTTTGTTTGGCTGTAAGTTGTTTCTTGCCCAAATAACAGACAAATTACCAATGGGAAAAGTTTTTTTTGCTCAAAACTACAAAAAATGGCTTTCAAAAAAAAACTGTTTTTTTGCAATATCTGAGAAAGTACTCTCCCAAATGTGGAGTGGCATACATCGTTGCCATTTTTCGCAAAAAATGACGATGTAACCCCTTAGAGAAATTGCGAAAATTGGCCAAAAATAAATTTTTTTAATCGTCCAAAAAATTAATAGGGCTCGTTAACTGTGGTCATAAGGTGCTCAAAACAGTGTTTGGTTCCGCTGTAAGTCACTAATTGGCCTTATTACAACCAAAAAACCACTCAAAATATAGTGTTTTCTACCGGAATTGTCA